GGGCGCGGCCGCGGCCAGGGCGGGCCGGCGCCGCGGAGGGGGAGCCGGGCGCGGCGCGGCCCGCAAGGCCGCCCAGGCCCGCCGCCGCCCGTCAGCCCGCGGCCCGCCGCCCACCTTTGAATTTGAGGTCTGTGGGCGGGTCGAGGACCAGGATCTGCTCGTGCTTCGCCATGGACCCGGAGGCGGACGCCATCGGAGGCAGCGCAGAGCGGGGGCGCGCCCGCGGCGGCGGTGTGCTGCTAGGCGGGACGACGGCGCCGCTCGGCCGCGCTAGGACGGGGCCAGCTCCGGGCGCCTGGGCCTCGATGCCTGTCGCCCTGTCGCGGCTCCGGTGGCCGGCGCTAGGTCCGCAGCTCCGGTCTCACAACTGACTCAACCCCACACCAGCCGCCGCGGCCACGCGCACTGCGATCCTCGGCGCCCCACGTGACAGCCCCTGCGTGCCTACGTGCGCGCCCTGGCGGAGGCGCGCCCCGCCCCCGAGCCAGCCCCGTGCTGCGCGGCACGGGCTGCTGCGCTTGCGCACTCCCGCCTGCCGCTCCCGGCGCCCGCTGTCAAGGGAACGGGCGTGACAGGGGACGGGGCGGGGCTCAGAGGGCCGCCGCGGGGCGCCGCGCACGGCAAAGGCACGGTCCTCCGTCACGTCGAGCTTGGAGTTTGAACCTAGAGGACCTGCGATGGTGGCACATGACTGCCAGTGGAAACGCCTGACGCAGGAGAACGTGGTCGGGCAGCGCCGCGCACTACGACTCCCAGCATGCCCCGCGTGGGCGGGCCTCAGCGCGCCGGCGCCGTCCAGTCGCGCGGGGGCCGACGGGAGGTGCGGTGGCCGGGGTGGGGAAGGAACGGGGCCGCCAGGAGATGTGTCTGCCCGGGCCGCAGGGGAGTAGAGTTCGCCGACGCCGCTGTGGCCCGTGGCAGCTTTGGGTCTGCGCCGTGAGGGAGGTGTGTGCAGACTTCGCCGCGGCCTCCTCGGCGTGTGGCCCGGTCCCGCGCTCAGCCCCGCGCACCTCCGGGTCGGGTCCCCTTGGTCCCCGCGGCCGCAGCACCTCGCGCTAGGAGCGGACGTGCGCTGGGGGACCGACCGGCCCGCTAGGGTGGGAGGAAACAACTTCTCTGGCTATGCCCCGCGGTGGAGGGAACCTAGACGGCCGCCACGTCCACGTGCTTCAAAGAACCCGTCTGCGTCACGGGGTCGCTGCAGCACGCGGCGCCCGGAGAGGAAGTCCCGCAGCAAAGCCGGTGGCCAGGCACTCGGGGACAGACGGGTGGAAGAAAGGGACGTGCGGGGGCGGGGGGGGCGGGGAGCGTCGCTGTGCTTTCCACTCCGCGTGGACCTAAATCCACGAGCCACCAGGATAGAAGGACGTGTTGAGGCCACTCCCGTGCAGGGGCAGCCCAGACCCTGGAAGCCCCGTGGACAGAACTGGCGCCCAGGTGGCCGAGCCCAGCGTCCGGAGACCTCCGGCCGTCGGCTGGAGCTCTCAGGGGACTGCCCGCCCAGGGTGGGCTTCGGCCGCGGAAGCCCCGGAGGGGCGCTTAAGCAGTTCGAAAAACGTGCCAAATTCACCTCTATGTCAGATTCTTTTTATTCACAAGATTTATTTTGAAATCGTACACTTATTAAGGGGAGGCTTGTGATTTGTTTCCTAAGGTGCCGGTTGACTGTCAGCCCAGGGAAGATTTCCCATGTATTTAGCTGTGCACCGGCCATCCCGACAGTCTTCACCAACTCCCACTTTGCCTGCCTGAGAACCCTCCCACGGGCAGGCTAGCACCGGTAAGACCGGCCCTCCACGGCTGAATACACCCCTCTTACCAGGAAGCCTTTTGGAATCCTGGGCACAAACTTCCAGTTAGCAGGACAGCATGGGAGGATGTCCGGTCACGCCCCTGTGGGACTATGGCTGCCGGTTCACCACAGGGCTTAGTGGGAATCCTGAACTGGATGGGTTCCAGTTTGCAGGCTACATCGTTAAGAAATCTCTGCTCATTGAAGTCATTTACCATTGGATTCAACTTTTTCTCTTCTCATTATTGCTCCAAAGATCTTGTAGGTATAGTCTCAAGGTCTATAAGAATTTACGTAACTCATATTCTAAGAGTTACATGAAACATCTTGGAATTAACCCCCATTACTATTTTAGGGCTTTGCAGGAATAATGAGTCAGAGTCCTCCTGAATTATCTACCTCTCATCAAATAGTGCACTGTTTAAGTGGTTTGTGCTTTGGTAATATTAATACCTTTCTTCTAGAAGTGCAAAGAACTTTATAAATACCATCACACACCGCTCAGAACAACTTTATAACTTTTGTTATAAAAATGAAATGAAAACTCTGTTACTAACAGAGCTAAACCGTAGGGGAAAGTTGCCCAATGTAACATTCTGTTCATTTTTGTTGTTCCCAAAGCCACCATAAAATGACATCCCAATGATCAAGGCAATAGTTTTAAATGTGATTGACATCTATTGTTTAACATGTGACAGGGAGCTAATGTTCATTCTCTTTGCTCTTTTCAGATTGATTAATGCAACACAGGTCTCAAAATATATTCATTATCTATATATACACACACATATATACATATATACATATCATTGAAGTATATATACACAGACATATTTATATGCTTTTGAGCTTATTTCTCTAGCTAATTTTCATGAGACTAAAAGGTATGGAATCCTTGATTTATTTCAACTTGTTCAAGTCACTAACAGTATTCACTTTTGGGTAGATTATCTTTTATGGGTTTGGCTACATTTTAAGAAAAAATTTCTAGTATAGTGGTATCAGTATACACCCATCTTCTTCCCTACAGTTAAACAAGTTTTACCATAGAAGTGCTCTGTAATTATGAATTTATGAACAATTATCTGAGTAATTCCTTTCAAGGTACGTACTTCCAATAAATATTAAGCAGTTGCAAAGTATGTTGGTAAAAGTAACTTGGGGCTGAACCACTGAGTCCAAGTTCTACTTCCCCTGTGTGATCTTGGCAGCTTGCTTCACCTCTCTGTACCTGTTTCACGTAAAATGAGGATAATCACAATGCCTACATCCTAGGTTTACAAGGATTAAATGAATCACCACACATGAAGGACTTGGGGTATGCCTGGCCCAGCACTGTTACCTTATTATTGTGTTGAATCTTAAATTTTTGCTGTGTACTTGGCACCTGGAAGCTTCTGGTGACTAGTGATAAGACAGGGTTCCTTCCCTTAAAGGCCTACGTTCAAGGCTGAAAAAATGGAATACCAACCCCACAGTTATTTTATTTGAATTGTGAACATTAGGAACAGAAGTCTAGGGTGGCAAGAGAATGTTCAGGGGGAAATGAGCAGAGATTTGGAGACATCACCTTTGGAAAGTGACAGGAAATGTGTTCTGAAGGATTCATGGACATCCCAGGCAAAGGAACCTGTATGAGGACCGCACTGGACCTAGGAAGGCTTGTTTTGAGTTACTGAACAAAGTCCTGTGGGCCCTGGGAATAAGGTGAGGAAGGAATACCAGGAGTTAAGGCTGAAAAGTCGAGCTCAGCAGATGATCAGAAGCCATATTAAGAATTTGTGTCTTTATCATTAGAAAATAGGAAACCGTGGCAGGGTTTACACAATGGAGTCATATGAGCAATCTTTGAAAGGTCTCTTGGCTACTACCATGTGGAGATCAGATTAGCGTAAGAGAGCTGTTGGCAACGCTGCTGTAGTTTAGAAGAGGACAGTGTTGGAGAAGTTGGTGGCTGGCACTAAGGCAGATACAGTGGAGATAGATAAACATTTGGGTGGATTTGGGAGATCTTTCAATGGTGGAATCAATGACCAATCAGTTATTGATTAGTTATAGGCGGGAAGGGAAAGTGAGACGGTGGGGCTCCCTTCCTCTGGCTTGTGCAGGTGGGCAGATGATGGTGTCATCCACAGGACAAGATTCTGATATTGGATGCAGCAGAGGGAAGACCGGGAGGCTAACTAGATGTAAGCTAGCAGACATTCCTGAGAAATGTTGCATAAGTGACTGGATGTTCTGGCTGGAGTTCAGAGCAAGGAACAGTTCTGGGCTGAAAACTAAAACTTCATGCTTGGCACTTGATGTCCTGGGCCATAGTGTGGATGAATGCCATCATCTAAGACAGAAATGAAGAGACTTTTCAACTGCAACTATTGTATATTGCATTAACTCCCAGCAGCTCAAGAGGCAGAGGCAGGAGAATCACAGGCTGAAAGCCAGCCTCGGCACCTCAGCAAGGACCTTAGAAGCTCAGCAAAATCCTGTCTCTAAATAAAATATAAAAAGGGCTGGGGACATGACACCCCTGGTTCAATAACCATATGTATCTATATATCTCTCATTAAGTAGAATAAGTCAGCCCTTTTGGCTTCCTCTGGGGATGCCTCCTGTATTGCAGAGGTCAGCTGCTTTGTAGCTGGGATCTTGTTCATGAAATAGATCCAACGGTGAGATACCCTTGTGTGAGATTTGGAATTAGAATGCTCTGGAGGCCATTGTTCTGTCCCTCCCAGCTATTTTCCTGCACAGAGCACAGAGACATGAGGTTTTCTTAGCAACATTCCAGTGCTCACTTACCAGCTTCCTGGATACCAAGAGCAATTAACTGGTGCAAGTTCAACAGAAGCTGTAACACCAGAAGCAAACAGTGGCCCCAGTGTCCTGACTTCTGGATCAAAGGTACGGGTGTGTCTTCAAGTCACCAGTTCCAGGGCAGCCTCCTCGGGTGGGAGCCCTGGTGAGACTGTTCAGTCTTGTCCTGAGACCCATTCCTAGGGAACCCACTCTGGGTCCTATCCCTCCAGGCCTCCCAACAATTTTGTGAGCACTTGTCACTCATCCTGCTTGTCATATCTGGACGGTCAAGAGCGAGTTGTCAAGAGGCCAGGAGAAGACTAGGAGGGAGCTCGCCAGAGCAGAAACCTGCCCACTTGTCCCATAAGGCCACACCTGGAAAACACTCACCTGCAGAGTGGGGGTGACGAATGAACACAGTACACACCTGCAGCAGACCCACACAACACTGATAAGGAGCCAGAATGTGCGCAAGGCCAGCAAGAGTCACGGTGATGCTGTGCCCCAGAGTTACATAGGCTCATTGCAGCATATTATCAGGCGTCTACAAGAAAAGTTCCGTAGAGAAGGCTGATGGAAGTGTCACCCTGTAAAACCAAAGCTGGAAGACACTTGTCCTGAGGACTTGACCTTGAATGTGCAGGTGAAGTAAAAACTGTAAGATCAGCCATCTTTATTGGTGAAAAAGTCATTTGAAGAACATGCGTTCCCCTGTTAACCTTTTCTACTGTGGAAGCAGTGTGTGCTTATTGTGACAATGACACACCCAAAGGCATAAACACAACTTCCTCCTACATCTGCCAGTTCCCACTCCCCCTGAGGTAGCCAGTGTTAACTACC